TGGAGTTGACATCCTCTGAGCGACGCAGTGAACACAGGGGTCCCTGGGTTGACCAGAAGTCTAAGGCTGGTTTCCGTGGAGGGCACGCCATGGGCGATCCTGAGACAGAAGTCTTGGGGGATAAGGAAAGCTGTTCATCTTGACCTCTCCTGCAGGTAGACTTGGTGCTTCAAATGACCTTTAAATTCTAAAAGCCATTTCATAGAAGTAGCACTCATGAGAAGGCCAACCAGAGTTTCCCCACCAGACAAGCCAAGTAAATATTGGAGACCACTGTTGGCAATTGACTGCAAACCTACGAGACAAGTTTCTCCGACTGTACAGCAGCTCCGGCTTTCACGTGACCCATTTAATTTTGTCCTCACCAAGGTGATGGGTACTCGAAGGGCAGAGATTCTATCTCTGGGATAAAACGGGAACCAATCCCATTTTTTCTACCCTAAAAATTGACCCTAGTATCGGCCTCGAGTGCAAACCCTAACTCACTGTATGCCGAAGAGCCGTGCTAACTGTAGGGTTTTCCTCCACCTGCCTGCCCATGCTGCTGCTCTTCTGCCCTGACAGTCTTGCCATTTTCTGTGACCTGTGCTCGTTGTCCGGTAAGAGCGATGGCCAAGTGCAGATTTGTCTCTAGAAACCCGAGTGATGTAATGATCTTTTGCCTGCTTTCGAATGATTGGCGTATTGGTGGCTCTGGGATTTTATTTCTTCCACCCCTAGTTAAAAAGCATCACTGTAGGCTCCCTTCCTGTGTGACTGGCCTTATGAACGACCCAGGCAAATTCTGACCACCACTCCCTCTTCCTCTGCCTTTGAACTCCCAGCTTCCTTCCCAGAACCCTCCTTCATCGTCTCCACCCTTGTTCTTTGACATTCAGGCCAGTGAGACCTTGAGAGCCTCTAGGTCAGAAAAACTTATTTTCATTCTTCTTCATGCTTCCGGCTCCTAAAATATACAAAGTAAGAGTGAATAGGTATTTGTTAAACTGAGTAGAACTTGTCAACAACCACAGAGCCCAGCGCTTTGGGTCCCACCCCCTTCTGCATCAGGGTCACCAGTTAACTCAGGGAACCCTGTGTCTTTCTTTACTCTGAGCACTCTGTCCTTCTCAGAGCTCAGAGGGAGTCTGGCTCTGGCTGACTTTTACCATTATTTTAACTCTGCTGTTGGCTGGGAAGGACTTTTTGAAGGCGATCTAAAAGCCTAATCATTATTTAAAATAATAACCCATTTAATGAGAACTATGTCTGTGCTAAGGAAGACAACCCTGAGAGATGGGTAATGTTACCCCTCTTTACAGATGAGTAGATGGAAGCTTGGCGAGGTTAAGTCATTTGTTTCAGGTCACCACACTAATGGTGTGTTTCATCGATTGGAAAATACACTTTTTCCCCCCATATTTTAAGATCTCTGCAGTGGATGTGCATCCTCTGGTCTGGGGGGGTCCCAGTCCCTGTCAGCTTGCAGGCAGCAGTCATGCGGGGGTGCTACAGTCTTCCCCTGTGTGAATCTGGACACAGCAGCTCATACTGTCATCACATCACTTCCTTTATATGGCCCCTTGTTACTCCACGTCTGTGGATTCGTTGCAGATAGGTCGGTTTTGAAAATAGAATAAATGTTTGAGCCATGCGTGCTTGGTTATTTTCTCCATAACTCACTTATAAATTTCACTCTTCAGAATCAGCATGGCCTTGTAACAGAGCCGTGGAGTGTGAGTTTGACATCAGTGAGGCAGATATTTATCACCAGGAGAATAAACTGCGATTCCCTATTTTCTCACATAGCAACAATCAATTGCATAGAAAGGAAGACCCACAAAAAGATGTGGCTGTGTTCGTGTTTTGCTGTTGAGATACATGCAAAGCAAACCTATTACCCGCCACACATGAAGGGTTGCAACTGAAGGCGGCAAGAACCCTTGTCGAATCTCTTTGAACAGATAAAAGCCATGTCAGAGCAGTTGGGCGCTGCTGTGCAGGATGCAGGGGGATCGCGGGACTGTTGTGCAGTCATCATTGAGCTGCAAGTGTTTTTGTCACTGGTGGTAAAATAATGATGCATCTTCACAATCCTTGAAGTCTTGGATTTGATGAAATCCTTTAAGTGGCAGATCCAGTTTCAGACTCGCACAGCCTAGCTCCAGAGACTTCACCCATATCCACTACCCTTCCAGCTTTTATTGTCTTTACGGGAAAGCACTTGCAGAGTGTAAAGGGGTTTACAAATCAATTTTTAGAACATAACTTGGTTGATAGGGAGATGATTCTTTACCACATGCTCAGTGTCACATTTAAAGCAGAATCGTCCCCAACTCCCAATGCCTCATAACTTGAATTAGAATCTGTTTCAAGTTAGCCACATTGTAACTGATCACACAGGCAGTTGACCCACCAGACAGCAAGCTGTAGTATCTTTCATTTCTTGTTTGAATAACAGGGAGTTCAGGAACTGCTTCCCATCATCAAGATAATTACAGCTCCTGGGATTGGTAGAGGTCCATACTACCCTCTTTCCCTCCTCCAGTTCAAAGCCAACTGAGAGATCAGCAGAGGTCTCAGACAAATGGGGATGAAAACATAAGAACTGTGATAAATACTCAGAAGACACAGTATAGTGTCCCATGGTGGGATTGCTAACAGTTCACCCCTGAATTTTTCAGCCTTTCCACCTGGCCTAGTGCCACAGCCAAACAACTGAAGGGTCAGGGTCCTTACTATGTGGCAGGGGTAGGCGCTGATCAAAATGCATGTGCAGTTGGCCCTTGAACAACACAGCTTTGAACTGTGTGGGTCCACTTCCATGTGGATTTTTTTTTTCCGATAAAGATAGTACAATACTGTAAGTGTATTTTCTCTTCATTACAATTTTCTTGATAACATTTTCTTTTCCCTAGCTTACTTTATTGTAAGAAGACAGTATATAACACATATGACATGTTGTTCAAGGGTGAACTGTATTTTGAAAAGAGGCCAGTTTGGCAGACAGAAAGAGACGAATGTCATAGTCACACACACCTGTTTCCATCCGACACACAGCTTCACTGGGGAGGGTTGAATAAGGCATGGGGAGAGAATACCCAGAAATGCAATCTTCTTTCCTCCGTGGAAGCAGGGGCCACTGGTAGGAAGGGCCTCGCTGAACCACCAGAAGCCCATGAGCACGGACACCACCAGGCGTGGGTTTCAGAGTTTTAGTGCTCCTCTCATTCTTGCTGGGGTCCAAATCACCTGGTTGGGCTAAATGGGGTTGGTCGTGAGCTTGCATTCATTTGAACATAGCATCATCTCATTTTCCAATCTCCTTTCACACTTTTTATTTAGTTGAATCATACTCATGGGTGTCTGCCTCGTTGCCTTTTGCTTTCATTCAAGATCCATAGGGAACAATCCAAAGTTGCTGCTTTAGCCCAAGGCCAGCATTTTGCTCAAAGGAAAAGCTGAGTTCCCACATGTCTTCTCAGTACCAAAGACTTTCAACAGATTAGTTCAGCCTTCTGAGTATTTTATAAATATCTGAATGTTATCAACATGTGGGTCTGAGTCTCTCCAGTAGGTTTTCACCGTGTTGCTCTAAGTCACCATGTTCTGGGCCTAACTTTGCATTTTTAAACGATGCCCCGTAAACCCTGGTTTCTCTATGAAGTTATTTAGGTGTTGATTACAAAATATATAATTGCCTCTTCATAGTACAGTTCTGATGGGTGCATTTTATTTATTTTGTGTATATATTTTATTTTATTTTTGTCTAGGGTTTTTTGGGTTTTTTTTTTTTATTAGCACAGTGCTGAATACTTAGTAGGTCCACAATAAAGACGTATTGTTGTGTTAATTACTTCGGGAGTGAATCTCAAAGGGAAGAGTGGGCTTTCAGATTATAACTCAGTTAGCTGGCAATGCTTTCTTCTGAACAGGGGCTGCTGGTTATTTTGCACGTTTAAGGGTCCGCCAACCTAAACTGCTTATACTGAAGATGAACTTAGTCCTAATATTCCTTTACCTGTGGAAAATAAAAATATGTAGTCTTCTTGTAGTTATTCTTTATTTAGAACCCTGTATTAGCATTGCCTTCGTGGGTGTGAGGGGATGGAGTGGGAAGGTAATTGGGGAAAAATGTCCCACACGTCCCCCACCTAAGGGGGGTATGTGACTTGCGCCCCCACTGATGGGGAGCCCTGTAGAGGGTGTCCATCAGAGATGGAGAGAACCAGAAGATGCGTGGCTTGGTGGGAGCAGTGGGGAGCCCAGCCAGGGAGCAGATGTCAGTTAGGAACCCTCTGAGTTATTCCTGGGCCTTTCTCCACCCCATCAGAATTCCCCTTCCACTGAGGCTGGTCTCCATGCTCTTCCCCCTCCTCACCTAAATGTGTGACTGCATGAGTCTCCCTTCCTGCTGACCCTTTTCTTACCCCTCCCTTGGGTGGCTTTGGAACATGTTCATTTCTCTCTTCAGCCCGTTACATTCATTTATCTGCGCTGTAAGCTGCTCACTTAGAGGCACCATTTTATTTGCCATTGCACAGACGCACGGATTTGAGCTCAGCCTTTGCCAGGAACTAGCCGAGAGACCTCCCAAGAGTCCGTGTTGTCTCCGTGGGTCTCGGCTTTCCCGGCTTTCCCACCTGGGAAGTGGTCTCCCAGGACGTATCCCCCTTTGAGATATTAACTCCAGGAGAGTAGAGACAGTGATAAGCCTGGTGGGGTAAGAGTGCATTTCCTACTTGCAGTGATTTCTTTTCTTTTCTTTTTTTTTTTAATAATTTTTTAAAAGATTTTATTTGAGAGACAGCAGGAGCAGAGGGGAGAGGCAAAGGGAGAAGCAGACTCCCCACTGAGCGAGGAGCCTGAGATCATGACTTGAGCCAAAGGCAGACGCTTAACCAACTGAGCCACCCAGGCGTCCCCCATTTGCAGTGATTTCTTGCCAAGGAGGCAGTTCCTCAGCCTGACTCCTGTCTGCTGCGAGCTCTGCTTTCAACAAACTTCCACTTTTCTTTCAGGGCTGGGAGAGGGTTCTGCCCTCCTTCATCCAGATAGCAGATCCCATCCCAGGTCCTTAGAGAAAAGTGCCTGGAGGGCTTTCAAGGAATCCCAGTGCCATCACATGCTCAAACATCTTCACAATGGTGCGAGGATCACTGTGCAGATGCCACCAGCAATCGAGGGCCACTGGGTGTCCACCGGGTAAGAGGGTCGGGGACTGGACCCGGGCAGGGGAGGGGAGGTGGGGGGGAGGATCAGAGAGCCACACGTCTGTGGAAGGCCTTCCTGAGGGCTTCTCAGATGCACAGAGACTGTATCCTATCTGCAATGGCGCAGGTGTTATCTAAGTTCTAACTAAAAACCAAGCAACACTTTGAAACTCCGTTCAGTAAAGAAACAGAGCTAAGGACTGTAGAAATGTTAGCTAAAGCAGAGAGGCGTACTACTGTTAACCACAGGCTGTGAGTGAATGGGTCCTTGTTTACCGAACTGTGTGGGACCACTCATGTAAAAAAGAAACCATTAGCAAGTGAAATTAGGAGTCTGTGTTTCACCAACCCTGAAACATGACTTGCAAGCTTCTGAGGGTCTAAATATTCTAGCCATATTCTGGTAATTTAATATATGGCTTCAGGGTTCTAAGAGTAAGTGAAAAGGTACTCAAGCTACCTCTACTAGCCAGGGTGTAGTTCCTGGACTCTTCCAGGCTACAGAGCTGAGATTTATCCCAGTTTGAGCTCTGGCTTATCTTCCATTAGAGCTTTTAAAAAAATAGCCTAGAGGCAGACCTGCAGGTTTTCCCCTACCCATTAAATTGCTGAGAATTAACAAGACTCACTCTGGGATCTGATCACTTCTCCCTTGCAGCCTCCAGGTACCTTGGGGAGGGATCAAATGCACACAGAGAAGAGAAAAAAAAGGAATTTTTATAAGATGATGAAGACCCAGACGTGTTTTTTTTTTCCTAAAGATGGGTTTTCTTAAAATAACCGCACGATAAATATTTGCACGATCTTAATGTGATGTACTTTTAAATAATTTATCATTTTATTCAAACATGTTTATTGAGTGTACCAGTATTTACCGTGTGCCCAGCACTATTCTAGATTTTGTGTATATAGCAGTGAACAAAACAAATCGTGGTCCCTGTCTTCAGGAATTTTACAAATAAACATACAAAGAAGTACTATGAAGAGGGAAAAAAACAACAGGTGCTAAAGGAGAATACCAGGGGCCTTATTTTAGGACGGGGGTGGGGTCAGGAAAGGCTACCAGAGGAAAGGACACTTGAGCTGGGATGTCCTTAGCTGTGCAAAGACTAGGGAAGAGCTTTCCATCTGGAAGAACTAGCAAAGACGGGGTTGGAGAAACAACTGACCTGGAGTCCTTGTGGCGGGGGGAGGTTCATAAACCTGGGCGTAGGGACCTGGGCGGGGGACAGCTCCAGATGAGGCTGCCAAGGAGGGCGGGGCCAGCTCCAGGGCAGGTCTGGCTGGATTGGGGTTAGAACTGGACAGTCACTGAAGAGTTTGCAGCAAGGACTGTGCTTAAGACATGATCCAGCTTTCACATGAGGCACTCTGGCTGCACTGCAGCAAATGGCTGGTAGAAAGTGTGAGAGGAGGGTGACCAGTTAAAAGATGGTTGCAACAGGTGCATCTAGAGGGGACAAGGCCTAGATAAGGGGGTGGTGGCCCCGGTGGAGTACGCAAGGACTTGAGATACATTGAGCCCTGAGGCCAGGCAGCACACCTTTAAGCACACCTTAAAAACAGACCACAGTGACCCCTCACGCTGGACAGGGCCTCCTTCGTAGGGGGAGGACCCTTGCGGCTCCTCTCTCGCCTTCTCTGCAGAGCGCAGGGCTCAGGGTTCCGCTGAGTGCCCTCTGTGCACGCGCCCGCACTGGACTTCCACTGACAGCCTTTCCCAGAGGGAGGTGCCCGCTTGGGGTGATGTTTACCTTTCACCAGTGTGTTAACTGAAAAATGGAAATGTTACCGATTTTGAGAATAACAGGTCTTTGGGATTTCAGCTCCACTGTTCGATTTAGCCATGCTGAGTCTGCTCAAACCATAATTATTGTAAATAATACATAGTAAATAGAATATATATATACACATGTATTGTATATATTATATATTATATTGAGTTCTGACATTATATTGTTATATGTTGTTACCTCTCTCTATCTATCTATATATCTATCTCACAGACTTGAGCAAAGTTATAAGTCCAAACCTGACGGATGCAAATCATGATGTAACTGAAATTCTGATCTAGTGGAGAGTTACAGAGGTCAGATTCTGTGGCAGATATGTTGAAGAAGCCCTCCACCATTTCCCTGGTGTGGGCTGGGCTGCAGAGAAAGGAACTGGCCCCAGGTAGGGCAGTGATCAGTTCCTGCCAGCCATGTATGCCCTGTAGACCTAGTCTAAGTATTTCTGGCCAACGAATCTAGCATTGATCTAAGGCCACAGCAAAAACTACTTTGTTGTTGTCATCTTGTCAGCACAAACAAAAGGAGCCCTTACCTCTGTTCCGCTAGCTTTGCTTTCACTAATGGACCCTTTTCCCCAGTAGAGGGAAAATTAATTTTCACTAGATGGGAGAGTGAGTTTCCACTTGCCCCTAAGTGACTCCTCCCCAGACGAGATTCCATTTCAGAACGACAGACATCCAACACCTGCCTGCTCTAGACAAGGTCCATAAACAGAAGTGTTCAGGGAATCAACTGTTTTTGAGCTAGCATAAGGAGACTTCCTTCATAGGCCAGCACTACTCTCTTCCCTCTTCCCACTGGAAAGACACTTCTCTGAAGTTAGGCCCCCAGGTGGAAGTGAGAAGGGCAGGTTTGGGCTCTCTTGGCTTGTTCCTACAATGAATAAAGACTGTGGTGTAGAGAGATTAGGAACACAGCCTGGAGTCAGACTGCCTGCATTCATGGTCTGGCTTTTCTCCTGGCTGGTCATGTGGCCTTGGGGGCACTTTCCCTGATCTCTCGTGCCTTGGTTTCTCCAGCTGTAAAATGGAGACAATACCTACTTTACTCCTTGGTTGTTGTGAGGATTCAATACATTGGTGTCTATGAAAGCACAAAACAGTGTCTGGCCCAGAGTAAACATTTGTTACTATTACCGTAATTTCTTGACACCATAACGCATCTGTTCCTCAATGCCTTTGGGCTTGAAGATGTCTTCCTTCCCCTTTTCTCCTTCAGCTGTGAAGTGAGGTCGGGCCCAGAGTTCATCACAAGGTCCTACAGATTCTACCACAATAACACCTTCAAGGCCTACCAGTTCTATTATGGCGGCAACCGGTGCACCAGCCCCACCTACACCCTCGTCATCCGGGGTAAGGTCCGCCTGCGCCAGGCCTCCTGGATCATCCGCGGGGGCACCGAGGCCGACTACCAGCTGCACAACGTGCAGGTTGTCTGCCACACAGAGGCTGTTGCCGAGAGGCTCAGCCAGCTGGTGAACCGCACATGCCCGGGCTTCGTGCCCACTGGGGGCCCCTGGGTGCAGGATGTGGCCTACGACCTGTGGCGGGAAGAGAATGGCTGCGAGTGCACCAAGGCCGTGAACTTCGCCATGCACGAGCTGCAGCTCATCCGTGTGGAGAAGCAGTACCTCCAGCACAACCTGGACCGTCTGGTGGAGGAGCTTTTCCTCGGGGACATCCACACTGATGCCTCGCAGAGGATGTTCTACCGGCCATCCAGTTATCAGCCCCCTCTGCAGAATGCCAAGGTACCCTGCCGCTGACTGCACTCAGGGCCTGTGGGCTGTTCTTTAATAAGTGAGATGAGCGACCCACAGGGAGACATGGCAGTGGGGTCCAAAGGGACCTCTGAGAGGAAGCGCCCTGCGTCATGGGGGAGATTGTGGAGGGCTGCCCAGGGAGGGACACGCAGCAGGGTCAGGACACCTGGCCGCGCCACCAGCTTGCTCTGCAGCGAGCGGCTGTGGTTTTCCTCATGACATCATTGATGGCGGCAGGCTTGTTGGTGTGCCAGGGGCCCTGGGGTGGTGATTCTAGAAGATTCCTAAGGCTCTTCTCAGCTCTAACACTCCACGAACATCTTCTTTGATCCTGAAAGGAAAACATAAAGGAAATTCGGAGATGTTATAACCACACTGTGGAGAGATGCCACAACAGGAGTGATCCCAGCCCTGGAGGAGAGGGAGAGGTGCCTGAGGGGAAAGTGACAGTGCTATTGTAGGCTGGAGAGCTTATAGTCTCCCACCCACCCTACTGCTCTTAGTCTTCAAAACGACCCCCTGAAGCAGATATTGCCGCCCTCTTAGGCAGAAGGGAGAGGTAGCGGAGATTCAAGGGGTTGTTGTCTTTTGCCCTAGGTCACCTAGGTAGTGAGGTTCTGCGTTGGAACTTGAACCCAGACCTCCTTCTCCAGACCCCACATTCTTTCCATTCAACTAAGTGAAATGTAAAGTCACTGTGATCACAAGGGAGGACGGAGGGGGCAGGAAACAATTAAAACCTTATAATGTTCTTTTCTTGAATGATAGTCCAGTAATTATATTTGGAATTCACAAAGCATTTCCTTCCCATGGGCTCAGAATCCGTGTCAGCCTGTAACACTATCTACCACCTCAGAAGTTGGAGAAGCTTGAGCAGGGAGGGGGTCAAGGGAGATTTCCCCAGTGGCCACCCACCCCCCTCCGCCACCGTCAGATTGGCTTCCGTGGAACCCTCTCTCCAACAATGACTCTCTAAATGAGGGGCCCCATATCACTTTTGTTTGATAGTTTATTCATTTTTTTAATCTTTTTTTTTTCTTAGTCCTTTGAGCTTATTTATGACTGGTAGAGATATCCCAGAGTACTTCCCCTGCCAAAGACCACTCGGTGTTATCTTCTGTTTATCTGTGTTATTGTGAGCTCCTGTAATGAAAGTCGCCTTTATTATAATTGTGGGAAATCTGCTGAGGAAGCCCACTTGGCTGAGGCTGCTTCCTCTAGATGCGCCTCACCAGGGACGGTCCCCATGTGTGAGGAGAAGCCAGACTGAGGGCCCCGGGCCCCAGACCCAGCCCTCCCTGGGCTCACAGCATGACTTAGAGCGCAAACCCTGAAGTCAGGCCCCCTGTGTCCTGCTGTGAGGTTGCAGGTTTGCTGAGGAGGAAGAGAGGAGTTAGGGCAGTGAGGGAGAGGGTGGCCTTTCTTGCCTGCCTCCATCCCAGTGTCTGCCTGGGACTTCCCAGGCCTCCTCAGGAGGGGTGGGGAGCGGAGGAGCTGAAGCTGCGCCCATTCCACACATCATGCCAAGGCATCAAGAGGACAATGCTCCATAGGTAGCATCTAGGCAAGGGCGTGGTTTGGGGGGCGCAGATAGGAATCCAGATGGAAGCGTCATCCAGAGTCGGTGCTAAACACTGCAGCTGAACAGCTCTTCTCTTGAAATCTCTGGTGTGAGAGAGCAGTGGGGTAAAGGAGCTTTTCGTCTGAACATTTGGCTTCCTCTGAGTACAGTCTAGCCAACTTTTAAATTATCTCTAGTAATGGGAGTAAGAATGTCATGAATAAAAACGGCCCACAGATAATCCAGAAACCTGATGTCAGCCAAGAGCGCCAACCCGGTCCCACCCTGAACCTTTATGAAGATCTGCTAAGCACACAGTCCTTTTCATGCCTGCTCGCCCTCCAGCGGAGACACTAATAGGCAGCGAACAGCCAAGAGGCAGGAACAGTGAGGCAGGGAACTGAGTAAGGAGGAGGCAGTCCAAGGGAGGAGGCTAAATTGCTGCAGGAGGAGGCAGGTGCCGTCCCGGAGATGCCTGGGCTGGAGTCTAGCCGCTCTCTTATCCACACCTGACCTTGGTCCTTTGTGCAAGGATCTGAACTCAGGTTCAGATTCCTTTTCCTCAACTGCAGACACTCACAGAGACTCTTTTTAGGACTGAAAAGAAAAAAGGATTAACCATAACACCTTTCTTTTCTTACATCCATTCCCTCACTCTGATCTTCTGGTGGTATGCCCCATCAGGAGGCCCGATAGGTGAAATCAGTATTCCTAAGACTTGCAACTCTGGAAGATTCTCTCCCACTCCCTCCCCGGGCCTGTAGGAGGCACTTCTCCTGCTGTCAATCGACTCACTGAACAGAGCTTGTCTGTTGGGAGAGCAAAGGCACACACTTGTGGTTCCTGAAGGAAAAATGGCCTTGACTGTGAGTTATTACCATTGGCATAAGGACTAAGGATGATAGTTGTAAAAGGCCAACCTTAGAATTTTTATAAACAAAAAAGTGGGAGACATACTTTTTTGTTTGTTTGTTTTTTTAAATACTGTCTGGATAAACTGGTGAGAGTATGGACTTTGGAGGCGGTAGCCAATCCTGGAATCCACTGCTGTGGCCGTCAGCTGCGGGGTGCTAGTGCTGTCATCTCACCTTAGGGAGCCGTGATTTTTCTTCTATAAAGTGGCAAGAATAGAAGAATCAACTGGATTAGTGTGCAGAATGCTGCCTGCCCTTGGAAAGGACCGTTCACCAAAGTTCCCTTCTCCCCACTTCTAGAGTAGGTAGCCCTTCTGGGCAGGTGTCTCCTGGAGGGATGACAATGACAATGACATTGACGGGGGGGGCCTCAAAGTGTTTGATGATGCCTCACCATGAAGCATCTCCTCCCATTTTCTCCTCCACCCCCCTGCTAAGGCAATTGTGAGGACATTGACCCAGATACTTAAAAGGTAGACCCTCTAAAACCTAGGCCTGAGGCCCTGATTTAAGAAATTTTAAGGATGGAAAGAACCTTTGGCATACTGTTAAATACAAAAAAAAAAAAAATCTAGCATGAACAGTAAGATACCATTGTGTGAAACTAATAATGAAGAATAAGGTGAACTTATAAAGGAGGCAGTATTTCTGGAAGAGTACATGAGAAACATAACAATCCGAGGAAGGGAACCGCTGGGGGACAGTTGGACCACGACTCATCACTGATTACCTTTTTTGTACCTTTTGCACTTTATGCCATGATCTTATCCAAACAGTCATCATGCAAAATTAAAATAAATTTCAGAAGCTAGGGCTCTGAGGCTCAGAGGAGCGCTGCGGCCACCGCCAGAACTGGTGGCAGGGCTGGGAGGCCAAAACCTGATGCATCCAGGGCCGGTGTGCGCTGCCCTCCTCTTCCACAGCCAGCCCGCGTGGCCATGGGTGTCCTTCGAAGGCCAGTGAGGTCTGCAAGGCTCTGGGAGCTGAAAGGGCCCGTTCTTCTAATGTTGGACCTGGCGTCAAACGTCTTGGCACGCAGCATGCCGCCGAGTCCTCAGGAAGTTTTTAGATCCTTCCCCGGGACAGCTCTGAGAGGGAAGAAGCGGACTTCGCCATTGGTGCCTTTCCAGAGTCCGCGCAGGCAGAGCCCCAGGTGCTCCCTGCCCGTGGGCCTGTGGCAGGTTGCCTCGCCCGCTGGGAACTGGGAACGGGAAGGAGGAGGGCTGGGAGTGCATCCGGAGAGACCACACTCCCCCCACCACCGGGCTCTTTGAACTCTTTGCCTCCCCTAATTGCAGGTCCATAGAGACCTGGCTGAAAATTAGTTTAAATGCTAAATTGAGTTTGAAACCACTAGTCTCAGCCCCTCTGGAAACAGGACACCATGTAAAAATAGAAACTTTAAATCAACTTGTTTTTCTAAGCTTAATACAGCTTTGCTGTGAGGTTCCGAGTCCTTTGGCAAATACATTGCATTTGAAGAGAATCAGGTGTGCTGGGAGGATTCTTTCAGGATGAAATTGGCCGCTCTTCACTACGAAAAATTAAGACCACATAAAATAACCCTAAAAGAAGATGCTTTCCCTCAATTGAGTTTAACATCAGGGCAGCCGTCACCCTCTGCCTAGACTTTTGTGCAATTGAAGGGTTAGCGAGCCGAATTCTTTCAGTGGTAGAATCAAATAGTAATTAAAAGCAAGTGATCACCCGGGTTGTTGGAAATGCCAGAGCCTCAGGATCAGACTTGTAAGCAAACGGAATTGGTCTTTCTCCAAAATCCTGCACTGATTTAGCCACAGGGTCATAAATCAAAGGGGTTGTCTAAAACCAGACAACTTTCCCCAAGCCATGCATCTCAGATATTCTGCCCCAGCGCATTCACGGCACATCTGAGGAAGACAGGCACCAAAGTATTTTCAAGGGGAGCTGAGCACTGAAAATGAAGAAGGTGATGCTCATGTGCTTTCTCTCTGGCATTCTGTAGAAACCTCTAGACTGCGAACGAGCATTTGATTTTGAGGGAGCTGGCCTTTCTGAGCCTTTTCAGAGTCTGCGAGAAATACAGATGAACTGTGAGACTTTCTATATCTGTGACATCCGAGGCACTGTGGACCAGGTGGCCACAGGCAGCGCACTTCTCAGCCTAGCCCCAGGAGGTGGCTCTGCCACAAGACGGGGGCCCCCTCCTCAGGCGTGTGCTTGGCGGGGCTCCTGGGGGGCTGGTGAGCAGGTGTCACAGGAGTAAGGGCAGAAGGAGCCAGGGAAGGTGGTTGTGGAAGAATTCACCTTCCTTCTCTTTCTGCCACTGGAGGGAAAGGAGAGGGGTTTGTGGAGGTGACAGGAAACAGAAGAGGTGGTAGAGGGCCGGCCAGGGAGTTCAAGGAGTCATGACCTAAAAAGCCCGTCTTACACCAAAGTTGAATCCTTTTTTTAATTTTTTTTTTTTTTTTTGAGAGAGGCTAGATAGTGCACAAGCAGGGGGAGGGAGCAGCAGAGGGAGCAGGAGAGGCAGG